GGTTCTACTATTATTTTTCTTTTTCGAATATTATTTTTCTTTCCCTTTTTTTTTTGTCTCTCAGAGTCTCTGTAACATGCCAGTACTGATAAACGATAGACACGTTCAAATTTATTTTCAGAAAATAGTAATAAGAATATATGAATGATTAAAAAAAAAATGAATAGGACAAAAAAATGACGCTATAGCCGATTCTCACAAGCGTCAGCCCGATTGCTTTTCCACCGAACTGGACTTCTTACGCTTGGCGTCGCTTGCCCTTTTCTGTCCAGCTCGGTGTAAAAGTAATCAACAAAAAAGGGCAAGCGACGCCAAGCTTGCCTTCGATTCAAACTAAAGAAGAACGAGGAGGAGGAGAAGAGGAGGAGAAGAGGGGAGCGTTCGCGGTTCGATCATGTGAACACGCATGATGAGTATTGAAGTTTATCGTAGATCATTGCAGAAGCAATTGGTCATTACTTGTCATTCTTCTTCTTCTTCTTCTTCTTCTTGTCGTTTCAAAAGAGAAGAACTAAAAAAGGAGAGAGGAGGGGGAGGGAAGAGTGGCCGGGGGCAAGTCCCACTAGCAGCGTTGAATTACCTCAATGCCTGAATCTGGACGCTTTTTTGCGGAGATGTGCAGAAATGGTGTCGAGTTTCCTGAACTGCACGTCTCCACAAACACGTCCACATTCAGGCGTTGAGGTAAGCTCAACGCTGCTAGTGGGACTAGCCCCGGGGGGCGAGGTCCCACTTCGTGAACTAAAAGAGTTTCAGACCGTTACTCATAAATATTAAAAAAAAAAAAAAAAAAAAAAAAAGAACGCAGATGTTCGTGATCGACGGTCAATATTCACTACTCCGTGCAAATGAGACTTCGCCCGGCCCGCCCGGGAAGAGGAGGAGGGATTAACTTTCTAACGCCTTTAACTCGAATAGAACGCCAGGTCATTATAGCTGGCTGCATCTGGGAGCAACTTTCAGTCTAGATGCAGCGATAATGAAATGGCGTTCTATTCCGGCAAAGACGGTTAGTAGTACATCTGACAAGGATATACCTTTTTTTGCAAGGATATACCTTTTTTGGAAGGATATTCCTTTTTTGGTAAGGATATTCCTTTTCTTGCAAGGATATTCCTTTTTGTGAACACGATGGATTTCTGAATACGTGCAAAGCGACGTAAGGCCTCGCTCCATTACGCAACACCACTCGTTTGGACGCTTTTTGGACCAGGTGCATTCGGACGAGTCCCACACCTTGAATGTATCTGGTCCGGAAAGCGTCCACATGCATGTAGAGTGTTGTGTAGTGCAGCGAAGCGACAAATTCAGAGGGAGACAAACAGAAAAGGCAAGAACGTCAAAACAGCGGAGAACTACCACAAAAAAAAAAAAAAAGACTGCGGTAGGTTAGAGGATTAATCGAAATGACAAAATTATATATGACGAAATTATATATGACGAAATCTGTGATATAATTCATAAGAAGACAACAGTAGGTCAGTATTAATCAAAATGACGAAATTATATAATACAACAATAAAAAATTCAACATAGAGAAAGCACACAGAGCGCACAAGAACAAGCCTCTCGTCAGGCTCTTGTGATTCCATAACCTCTCTCTCTCTCTCTCTCTCTCTCTCTCTCTCTCTCTCTCTCTCTCTCTCTCTCTCT